GTCCTCTTCATTTCCCTGCTGTGCCTCTGTACCTCTTCATTTTCCTGCTGTGCCTCTGTGCCTCTTCATTTCCCTGCTGTGCCTCTGTGCCTCTTCATTTTCCTGCTGTGCCTCTGTGCCTCTTCATTTTCCTGCTGTGCCTCTTCACCTTTCTTCCACCCTCCCTCGACTTATTTCTTCAGGAGTTTGCACATGAACGGAGGTCGATGGACCCCTCGTCTAACTCAGCTCCGGTCTTTCCTCTCTCCACAGACCCCGCAGGAAGACCAAGACGTTGATGAAGAAAGACAAATACCCGCTGGCTTCGGGTCTCCTACCCGCGGACCCGACCCGGCCCCCGGTCCAGCAGGTGACCCGGGACATGCGGGACATGTACAACATGACCAATGGCTATATGCCCAATGGCGATTATAGCGACTACGGTGAGTGGAGTAAGTTGAGAGAGCCTTTGGTTTGTTGTTTTTTTGTGTGTTTGGGTTTGAGGGGGTTGAGAAGGGGATGACGGCTGAGTGGACTGTGTTTCGTATTCGTAGGTTTCCGGGTTCGATCCCCGGTGGAGGTGGAAACAAATGGGTTAGTTATTTTTATCCTGATGATCCCCTCCCCCCTGTTCACCTAGTAGTAAAATAGGTACCTGGGGGAGTTAGACAGCTGCTAATGGGTGCTGCTGCTTCCTGGGGGGTGGGGGGGGGAGGTGTAGCAAATAGGAGGCCTGGTCGAGGACCGGGCCGCGGGGACGCTAAGCCCCGAAATCATCTCAAGATGACCCGAGAGAGAGAGAGAGAGAGAGAGAGAGAGAGAGAGAGAGAGAGAGAGAGAGAGAGAGAGAGAGAGAGAGAGAGAGAGCAAGAGATGAACAGCAAGCGAGACAAATGACAGACAGACAGACAGATCTTCTTATCACAGGGACCATCTCCTTGAAGATGATGGCTGGTCAGAGGCCACACTAGGGGAGGATGGGGACAACATGGGAGCCCACCGCTGCTCCCACGGTGATGAGTGCGCTGATGAGCCGTGCTACCTGCCCTTACCTGGTGGTGGGTGGTAGTGGTGGTGGGTGGTAGTGGTTATTGGTGGGTGGTAGTAGTGGGTGGGTGGTAGTGGTGGGTGGGTGGTAGAAGGTTGTGGTAGTGGGAGGGAGGGAGGTTTGGTAGTAGTAGTGGTGGTGGTTAGGTGGTAGAAAGTGGTGGTAGTAGTGGGTGGTTGTAGATGAACTTAGGGATGGTAGTATCAGGGCAGGTAGTATAGCAATGGTGGTAGCGAGTATCAGGCCACTACCACCACCGTATTAGGGGGGCTGGTACAAGTATCAGTACCAGAGATATACCAAGGGGGAATATCAGGAAAAGATGGAGATTAGAGATTGGAGATAAAGATAGTATTAGCAGGTAGCCACTAGGGCGGATTACGCAAACGAACACCTCAATCCCCCTCCCCCTACCAACCCTCCCCCCCCCCTATCCTTTCACCCATCCCCTCCCTTTCCTCTTCCCCCTCCTTCCCCTCCCTTCCCCTTTCCCACACTTTCTCCTCTTCCCCCCTCTCTCTCTCCCTTCTCCGTCACAGGGAAATGGGATGGATGACAAGCTTGATATGCTTTAGATAGGATAGGGAAAGTAGGGAGGAATAGAAGAGGAGAGAGAGAGAGAGAGAGAGAGAGAGAGAGAGAGAGAGAGAGAGAGAGAGAGAGAGAGAGAGAGAGAGAGAGAGAGAGAGAGAGAGAGAGAGAGAGAGAGAGAGAGAGAGAGAGAGAGAGAGAGACAGCCAGCCAGCCTCGCGTCGCTAATCTCCTACATCCTGTAGATCGGATTCCGCAACTCACCCCCTCTGAGCCGAGTACAGGACGCCCTGTATAAACGCCCTCCTATTCTCACCCCAGTATTATCTACGACGCAAAGTTACTCCAAACTTTCCGACAACATAATGTAGATATAAGGGGAGCAGCTACGGCTTCCCCTTGGCTCCTGTGTGGTGCTAAGGGAAGGGGGAAGGGAGGGGAGGAGAGGGAGGGGAAAAGGGAAGGGGAGAGGGGGGGAAAGGGAGGGATTGGGAAAGGGGGGGGGGGAGTTGTTTACCAGTTTGGCAATACCATACAAGGCGTAGCGTGTCTACTGCTAATACTGATACAGATTAGTAACACTGGCTACCCTATGCATACCTGGCTACCCTATGCATACCTGGCTACCCTATGCATACCTGGCTACCCTATGCATACCTGGCTACCCTATGCATACCTGACTACCCTATGCATACCTGGCTACCCTATGCATACCTGACTACCCTATGCATACCTGGCTACCCTATGCATACCTGGCTACTCTATGCATACCTAGCTACCCTATGAATACCTGGCTACCCTATGCATACCTGGCTACCCTATGCATACCTGGCTACTCTATGCATACCTAGCTACCCTATGAATACCTGGCTACCCTATGAATACCTGGCTACCCTATGCATACCTGACTACCCTATGCATACCTGGCTACCCTATGCATACCTGACTACCCTATGCATACCTGGCTACCCTATGCATACCTGACTACCCTATGCATACCTGGCTACCCTATGCATACCTGACTACCCTATGCATACCTGGCTACCCTATGCATACCTGACTACCCTATGCATACCTGGCTACTCTATGCATACCTAGCTACCCTATGAATACCTGGCTACCCTATGCATACCTGGCTACCCTATGCATACCTGGCTACCCTATGCATACCTGACTACCCTATGCATTCCTAGCTACCCTATGAATACCTGGCTACCCTATGCATACCTGGCTACCCTATGCATACCTGGCTACCCTATGCATACCTGACTACCCTATGCATACCTGGCTACCCTATGCATACCTGACTACCCTATGCATACCTGGCTACCCTATGCATACCTGGCTACCTATGCATATGCATACCTGGCTACCCTATGCATACCTGGCTACCCTATGCATACCTGGCTACCCTATGCATACCTGGCTACCCTATGCATACCTAGCTATGAATACCTGGCTACCCCTATATGCATATACCTGGCTACCCTATGCATACCTGGCTACCCTATGCATACCTGGCTACCCTATGCATACCTGACTACCCTATGCATTCCTAGCTACCCTATGAATACCTGGCTACCCTATGCATACTGGCTACCCTATGCATACCTGACTACCCTATGCATACCTGACTACCCTATGCATACCTAGCTACCCTATGCATACCTGACTACCCTATGCATACCTGGCTACCCTATGCATACCTGACTACCCTATGCATACCTGGCTACTCTATGCATACCTAGCTACCCTATGAATACCTGACTAACTTATGCATACCTGACTACCCTATGCATACCTGGCTACCCAATACATACCTGGCTTCCCTATGCATACCTGATACTATACCCATGTGTACTCAGATTTTCCCAGATAAAACCCCATGTGATCCTAGGTGAGTTTAGGTGAGCCCAGGTGATCTTAGGTGAGCCCAGGTGATCTTAGGTGAGCCCAGGTGATCCTAGGTGAGCCCAGGTGAACTTAGGGGAGCCCAGGTGATCTTAGGCGAGCCCAGGTGATCTTAGGTGAGCCCAGGTGATCCTAGGTGAGCCCAGGTGAACTTAGGGGAGCCCAGGTGATCTTAGGTGAGCCCAGGTGATCTTAGGTGATCCTAGGTGAGCCCAGGTGATCTTAGGCGAGCCCAGGTGAGCCTAGGTGATCTTAGGTGAGCCCAGGTGATCCTAGGTGAGCCCAGGTGATCCTAGGTGAGCCCAGGGGATCCTAGGTGAGCCCAGGTGATCTTAGGTGAGCCCAAGGGATCTTAGGTGATCTTAGGTGAGCCCAGGTGATCTTAGGTTAGCCCAGGTGATCTTAGGTGAGCCCAAGTGATCTTAGGTGATCCCAGGTGATCACAGGTGAGCCCAGGTGATCTTTGGTGAGCCCAGGTGATCTTAGGTGAGCCCAGATGATCTTAGGTGAGCCCAGGTGATCCTAGGTGAGCCCAGGTGATCCTAGGTGAGCCCAGGTGATCCTAGGGGAGGCCAGGTGATCTTAGGTGAGTTTAGGTGATCCTAGGTGAGCCCAGGTGATCTTAGGTGAGTTTAGGTGATCTTAGGTGAGCCCAGGTGATCTTAGGTGAGTTTAGGTATCTTAGGTGAGCCCAGGTGATCTTAGGGGGAGCCCAGGTGATCCTAGGGGAGCACAGGTGATCCTAGGTGAGCCCAGGTGGTCCTAGGTCAGCACAGGTGATCCTAGGTGAGCCCAAGTGATCCTAGGTGAGCTCAGGTAATCCTACGGGAGCCCAGGTGATCCTAGGGGAGCCCAGGTGATCCTAGGGGAGCCCAGGTGATCCTAGGTGAGCCCAGGTGATCCTAGGTGAGCCCAAGTGATCCTAGGTGAGACCAGGTGATCCTAGGTGAGCCCAGGTGATCCTAGGGGAGGCCAGGTGATCTTAGGTGAGTTTAGGTGATCCTAGGTGAGCCCAGGTGAGCCCAGGTGATCTTAGGTGAGCCCAGATGATCTTAGGTGAGCTCATGTGATCTTAGGTGAGCCCACGTGATCTTAGGTGAGCCCACGTGATGTTAGGTGAGCCCACGTGATCTTAGGGGAGCCCACGTGATCTTAGGTGAGCCCACGTGATCTTAGGTGAGCCCACGTGATCTTAGGTGAGCCCAGGTGATCTTAGGTGAGTTTAGGTGATCTTAGGTGAGCCCAGGTGATCTTAAGTATCTTAGGTGAGCCCAGGTGATCTTAGGAGGAGCCCAGGTGATCCTAGGGGAGCACAGGTGATCCTAGGTGAGCCCAGGTGGTCCTAGGTGTGCACAGGTGATCCTAGGTGAGCCCAGGTGAGCCCAGGTGATCCTAGGTGAGCCCAGGTCATCCTAGGTGAGCCCAGGTCATCCTAGGTGAGCCCAGGTCATCCTAGGTGAGCCCAGGAGATCATAGGTGAGCTAGGTGAGCCCAGGTGGTCCTAGGGAAGCTAAGGTGATCCTAGGTGAGCCCAGGTGATCCGAGGTGATCCCAGGTGATCCTAGGTGAGCCCAGGTGATCCTAGGTGAGCCTCTAGGTGTTATCTACTCATTTACACTTAATGGATCTACTACCAATATACACTAATTGGCCTATCTACCTGCCCCGTGTGTGTATCTAACGTGATGAATTAATGAGAAATTCACTAGGAGCCCTGACCAACCACCACCACCACCACCCCCACAACCACCAACCAGCCACCACAACCACCACCAACCACCACCATCACAACCACCACCACCAATCACCACTACCAACCACCCACCACCACAACAACCACCACCACCAACCACCACCGACCAGCCCCAACCACCAACCAACCACCACCACCAACCAACCAACCACCACCACAACCACCACCACCAATCACCACTACCAACCACCCACCACAACCAACCACCA